TTGTTGTTTGTTGTTTGTTACAAAATAAAGAATGAAAAAAAAAAAATCAAAATCTGTGTTCTTTGTCTTTTGTTAGTGTTTTCAGAAAATCCAGTTTGAACTGGTTAGGCTAGACTGAGCTTTTGACTGTGAAGCGTGACGTCATAATCTTGAATCGGTGCCAAGTATTTACCTATGTAGTCAGCATAAAAAAAAAAACGTAGGTAAAACGCATGTTTTGCACACGGCCTTTATCTTTCAAGGTGAGGGGGTATAAAAACAAGGTGTTAAAGACGATCCTCCTCAGTTGGGGGCATGTGGTTGAGTAAACGACAGTTTGGCAAGCGAATTCCTAGAATATTAGAAGACATGGAGATGGATAAAGATAAATTTGCCTTATTAGAAAAGAGAATGACGGAACCTATGGAGGGGGATCACGAAGCTCCTCAAACAAAAAGAAGAATAGAGTTGAAAACCCTGGATTCGGAACCTAAGAATGAATATTTACCCCTGGATGAGCCTGTGAAGGATCCTAATGATCCAGACAGATTTTACAGGACAGCCATTAATTGGACTTTCACCATTAAAGAGCCTAAAGAAGAAGAAGATATAGACATGTTTCTGAGCAACCAAGATGATTTCTTCTTCGGTTTCCAGTATTTGATTATACAAAAGGAATAAAGGAAAGACATCCCTGGACAGGAGAACTGCATCAAATCAGGGGATTCATTCAAATGAAGGAACCAGAAGGAGGACTGACTATGTGCAGACTTCATATCACTGCTGATTTTGCCATGTCTCACAGTACCCCAGAATTGGAAAGTATGTTTTACAAACAAGGAGGTGACTATGAAGAATATGGGGTTCTGAAACCTGAGGAGAGAAATAAGGAATTGGAGCCCAGAGATTGGATAGAATGGGAGATAGGAGCTTGGAAGAAACCTGAAGCTATTGAAGCCAGAGAAGCTAGGAAGAAAAAGTTCTTAAAGAATGTGAGCTGGTCAAGATGTGAATAAAAAAAAAAAAAAGATTTGAACTGTTATTTATTGTTAGATCTCAATAAAAAAGAAAAGAAAAAAAAATTGTGGGTTTTTTGTCATTTTTTAAAAAATAGGTTATCTCCCTTTAACCATAAATTTTTTTTTTCAAAACACCAAAACAAAAAGTGTTGAGGGTTTTTTAAAGATTGGGGGAAAAATAGATGCAATTTTAAAAAAAAAAGTATAAATAGTAAACATGGTATAAAACACACCTCAGTTGTGGACTGGCTTCATTATGGGTAACACCTCCAGTAAAGAAATGAGTCAGAACACTAGATTAAAGGAAACTGAATGGTTACTTATACAGGAGGGAGGAAAAGATATCATACCACCTCCCTTGATGGTAGAACATCCTGCAGTATTTATACCACCTCCCTTGATGGAAGAACATCCTGTAGAATATAAACCTCAGGAGGAGGAGGAAAAAGAAAACATAAGACCAAACAAACTCTTGGAGGATATTAAGGCTCATTATCAAAATAAACAGAAAGAAAATACAGGCAATGGATATATTGCTTACTTAAAACAAGACAGAGGTAGAATAGCCAATAATTGGATATTTAATTTAACTGGGTGCCGACAGGAAGATGTAGATCAAATCATTGGAAGTGATTATCAATACTTGATCTTACAAAAAGAAAGGCATCCAGAAACTGGAAAACTTCATCATGTGAGAGGATTTATTCAAATGAAAAACAGAGTTCAAGGGAGATACATGTACAGAAAGATTCATAAATTAACCTGTTTTGAGATGTCTTACAGCACCCCAGAATTGGAAAGAACCTTTTATAGACAAGGTGACTATGAAGAATATGGAGTTTTAAAACCTGATGTGAGAAACAAAGAATTAGTTCCAAGAGATTGTAGATTTACCTGAATAAAAAAATATTTGAAATCTTGTTTTATTGTGTTGTTGTTCTATAAAAACAAGGGTGTTTTAAAAAATAGATTCATTTTACATCATGAGTCTCCAGGAGATACAAGGTGATTTACTCAACTGTGAGGTAGAAGCCATTGTTCATCAATGTAATTGTTTAACTGTAAAAGCTCATGGATTGAGTCAAAGTATTGCAGAGAAATTCCCACAAGCCAATCTCTATGCCACTCGCAGACCTCTAGGGACTAGAAATTTAGCCGTAGAAGAAGATAGAGGAATTCCAGGCACTATTAAGGTGTTTCCCTCACAAACCCCTGTGGTCATTTGTTTACTAGCTCAATGGGATTATGGAAAAGCAAGTCACCGACCTAAAAGAATTTCCACTTATCAGGATACCCCACAAAACAGAGAGCAATGGTTTCAAACTTGTTTACAAGAAATGGGGGAAAGTTTACCTTACCAGACTTATGCTTTTCCTTACAAGATTGGGTGTGGACTAGCCCAAGGAAATTGGATTCATTATAGACATTATATTGAACAATTTGTACACACTTATGAAAAACATGTGTACATTCTTCATCATCATCATTAATTGTGTATTTTCATGTGATGTAAAATAAAGAAGAAAAAAAAAGTACCTTTTTATCTGTCATACTCTAATGTCTGTTTTAAACAGGAGATGAAGGTCCACCGCAGTCCCCATGCACTCATAAGCAGATCCCTGGAGGGGGTCAGTAGAAACACTCAAGTAGTTTTTCTTTTCCCCTGTGATATAATGTCAATATTTTAATGGAAAATTCAGAAATTTATTAGCACTTAAAGATTAAAAACTTGCTATCTTTATAGTATTGATTTCCATTATCAGATTTTATTTTTTTTTATCCATTTTAAAAATATAAACATTTAAAATAATTATCTTAATAATAATAATTAAATAAATTAAAATGATATCTCATTGAAACTTTTTTAGATTCAAGTTTTGTTTTTGTTTTTATGTTAGTTATTTCACTGTATATTTCCCAAAGGAAGACCAACAGCCAGGCTTCACTTCATAGAGAATGGATTATAGATGGTTAGGAACAAAACATATCTTCCAGGTTTGAGGACTGTATAGAAAAATAAAACCCATTTTGTTATTATGATTTAAATTACATGAGACAATGTCTCTTATAAATGTAATACAAAAATAATATCTCTTATATATATATGGATTCCTATACTCTAATCATATTAAATGTCATTTGTAAAATGTATTATTTTTAAAGACAGATTTTATTTAGGATTGACTTTTAAAATGATGACATGAATAGCAGGCCATACTTTAAGCACATGACAAAAACATTTTCTCAAATTACACAGAAATGGGCTATTTAGCATAGCTGACATTAAACATATAGGTGAGGGATAACATAATCACAATTATAAACAATGTGAAACAACTTTAAACGACCTACAGGGTAGATTACAAGCCTTTTTCACTGGGGTAAAATCTTGCGGAGATTCATCATGGCGGCCTAATTTACATAGAAAATTAAGTCGTACTTAAACACATAAATTTTTTTTAAAAAAGTGACCTGGTGTTATAACTTGAGAGATACACAATGTTTCTTTTTTTATTGACTGTTTAAGTAGGCATCTTTTCGAAACAATTGGGTAGCCCTTAAAAGGGCTGTTTGTTGTTTTTTTTTTCTGGCTTTTTTCTGGTGGGGCTCAGTCCCTCAGTAACTGCTCGACCATGGCTCCCTCATCTGAACTGTCATCTGACCCCGCGTTAAATTCTGATCTTCTGCCCACGGGTTGCGCTGTCAGCTGGGAATTCCTACACAGGGGGCAGGGCAGACTATGATCTATAAGGCGCGCAGCACATAACAAGCAGGCTGCCCGCTGCAATGACACTGAGCGCTCGGAAGGGTCTGTATTTATACACAATAGCAGACGATTGTGCAATCGCGGCAAAACATCAACAATCCAATCATGTGATCAATTGTGATTGGCTAAAACAAAAAAATCGCTTTTGATCATGTGATCAAAAAACGCCCCATCACAGTGACAAAGCAAAATTGAAGGGGGGAAACGCCGAACCCGAGTGCATATATGACGTCATACAATAACATAACACTGATGTAGTATTACATGATTTTTTATTTCTTAAAAACTAACAAAGCTTCTAACTGTCGAATTCTCCTCCGAAATCGTATTCGATCCGCTACTAGGGCCATCCAGGGACTTCTCCGGTCTTCGGGGGGTAATTCGTAGATTTGATTGAGGCTGGTATTAAAAGTCACTGATTTCCTAGCCTGTGTGAAATTTCCAGGTATTTCATTCCGTATTGAATACATACTTTCTCTATCGCATCTATGTCCTGCCACAATAAAATCACTTTGCCCGCTTGGGGATGGGTCAGGAAACTGTAAGGCTTTCCGAAATAACGGGTCAGGTTCAGTCCGTACCATTTCTGGGGCAGAATTGTTTTCATATGTCGACATAGAAAATGTATGGTAGCTAGTCTCCCCATGGTCGTCGCATGATGTGATAAGGTTAGGCATTGTAACCATAAATCCTGAAGGGTTTCCATGATAGTGCTGGCTTCCTGAAATACTTGTTCTGCCTCCGGGGGTAGAGATTCTTGGTGATTTTGTGCCCATCGTACTAAACAATCATACCCATCTAAAATCAGAGAGTGAGTGTGTATCAGGGTTGACATGATAGTCGATTGTGAAGAAAGGACCAGACTTTTCTTCTCATTTATACCCCCAGTATAAAACGTAGGTCTATCGTATATATTTTTTGCACACGGCCCCCCTCACAGGTGATGCAACAGGTATAAAAAGGTAGGTCAAAGGTGCACACGGCCCCCCTGACTTGAATCGCTGCCAAGTATTTACCTGTGTAGTCAGCATAAAAAACGTAGGTCTATCGTATTTTTTGCACACGGGCCCTAAACAAACTTGACTCGCTGCCAAGTATTTACCTGTGTAGTCAGCATAAAAACGTAGGTAAAACGTATTGATGCACACGCCCCACAGCAGGTATATAAAGCGGAGCTGGGATTTGATGATCAGTCTTGCTTGACATTTGGAACTTGACAGACGTGAAAAAATAGTATGGCAGAAGCAATGATGAATACTCCAGACAACCCCAGCTATGTGACACCTGAAGGTTATGTAGGAGCCCCTATGCCAGAGTCACAGGATGCAGTGGGATTAGATTTGGGCATGTATAATCTTCCAGAATATGCGAATAAAGAAGATATGGGACTATTAAATACAACTCTGGATGGGATTGTTAACATGCTGTCCGCTCTTGACAACAAGATGAATGATATGAACAACAAGGTGAGTGATCTTAACAACAAGCTGAATTATATTGGTGAGAAAGTGCGACATCATGACAACACGCTGAAATATATTGCTGAGAAGGTGGGTGATCATGAAAACAAGCTGACTGATCTGAAAACTTACAACGCCAGTGAATTTTGTTTGATTCGTGCCAAATTATCCAAATTAGAAGTGAAAGTTACTAACATGCAAGACAAAATGAGAGGAGGAGGAAGCACTTACCAGAAAAAAGAAGGACAAGGGGAATCGGGAGAAAAAAAGAAAACTAGACAGACGGATCCATGCTACAGGTGCAAAGAGTTAGGGCATTGGGCCCCAGATTGCCCCAAGAAAGATTTGTGCTACAAGTGCGGGAAATTTGGCCATTGGGCTAATAAGTGTACAGAGGATGAGGAGGATCAACAATTCGTCAAAGAAGTACAAAAACTGGAGAAAAAGTCTCAGGAACCCAAGATCTCAGGGACCCACCAGACCAAACCTCCAGTGAAAGAAGGAGACAAAAAAGAGAAAAAGGAACACAACAGAGAGAATCCAGGACCCAGCACTACTCACAAGAGGAAACTATCCCTGATGACCGATAAGGCCCAGAAGAAGAAAAAGTAAATTGTTGTATTTTTTTACTTGAATAAAATCTGTGTTCTTGTTTCTATTGTGTGTTATTGTTTTTTTTTCAGTTTTCGGAAAATCACTGTGAATGAGTGACGTCATAATCAAATTCTTGAGTATTTGCCAAAATCGTAGTAGCAGCGTTATGAATGGTAGTAGCAGCAGCGTATAGTGTAATGTAAACACAGTGTAAACACACCCCCGTATTTAGGAGGATTATATGTACTGAATTGAACCGGCTATCCCCCAGGGGCTGCACTCTATTGACCCACCTATCCCCTCCAGGGGCTGCACTCAGTTGACCCACCTATCCCCCCCAGGGGCTGCACTCAGTTGACCCACCTATCCCCCACAGCCCCAAAAGTGCACTCAGTTGACCCACCCATCTAGGCGCCTTATACTACTCACCCTTAATAAATTAAACCTCAAAAAACACTGTACTTGTGATCATACACATAATTTGGGGGTAACATACTTCTCTTAACTTTAACTTTTTGAATGTAAGAATAATCTAATTGATAATTAATTGATTATTTTCAAATTAAGAATCGGGATAATTTGAAATATAAGTACATGTAGAAACGAACCAAAACCGTATGAGACAACAGACTGTGTAGATTGTAGAAGTCTGTGCATGATTATTTACTTACTTTCTTTTCAACTCAATGTGTTCTGCATTTTATTACTAAGTATGTAATAAATATAATAAAACATATCCTTTTCCACATCACATCCTGTATCAGCCCGAGACACCAATATCAGCCAGAGGGCCGAATATTATTCTCTGTATAATATGAAAACCCTGTCTCTTCCCATTCAAAAGATATGACCAAGGTAAAGTTAAAGTTTTTGTGACGGACGGGCAGCTAGACAGAAGTGTTATAGATCCTCTTGCATACTCGCTGAAGCCATTAAGGGTCACGTCAGAGGTCAAATTCTATCAACCAATCAAATTGTCACCTGCAAAATCGTCGTATATTGTTGAAGCGAATAAGTCTAGAACTGTTCCGAATTTGATCTCTGACGTGACCATCTATGGGATGTTGTTAGATGTCAGTGTAGCGAGTATGCGAGCGGATCTAACATCTAATTTTAATTAGATTGTTTAACGTCCCCTTGCTTTCGCTAAAGCGGGGGACAACAATGACACTTACTTATTGATCTGGGTCACATGAACAGACCAGAGATAAGAAATGGATATAAAGCTAGTGCACATAGTCTGCAGGCAGAAAGAATGGACCAGATTTCCACTTTAAACTTTGCACTTTTGTTCCTGACAATATTTCAGAATGTCTCTTCGAATTATAGTGAAAAAAGAATTCTTTTAACTGATCCTACCTTTTTGGATCAAAGACTTAGCAATCTCGAACATAAAATCCAAACACTGGAATCGGAAAATCATAATCTGGAGCAAGAAGTGCAAAATCTTAAAGGTCGTCTGAATCAGCTAGAGACAACTAATAAAGGTAATGATCTTGTTTAAGCATTCATAATGCCTTGTAATCTTATATGTAGGGAGGTCAACGAATAGGCGAATATTTATTCGATGAATTTATATTCAAATGTAAATTATTATTCAAATATTTCCGCATTATAACTATGAGAAATCCATTTTGAACATTGCCAGAATTATACTCTTTCTAAAACTTTACGAGGGATGAATTTATGGACACTTGATAAAATGTTTTGCTTTTAAATTGTTTTACAATTAATCAAAGATATGGATGTAAATGTGTACAGTATATGCACATGTACATGTATGTTACAAAATAATCATAAAATCTAAGGTTTACAGTATACATGTATATTAATGCAATGAGGCTATGCATAGGTGGTACAAACAATGTTCCGTAAATCGAAGTAATTAAAAAATGAATACATTATCCAAACGTGGCAATCTCCATTACACTAGAAATTTATTATTTTGAAACACAAAGAAGGAGACAGACGTTATCTTGTGCTCATGCGTAAATAGTTACTAGGGCTTCCAGCATCATCAATGAAATAGATCAACGAAGTGTTGTTTCTAAATTTGTATAGTAGTTTTCTCATAATTTGAAGTGTGGCAATATCTGTCTTTCAATTATCGTCTAATGATACAATTTGATCATGATCTTTTGAAAAAATTAAAACCAGACGTCTCTGTCGAGACTGAAGCTCTACTGCTTTGTACTTATAGCAAAGGAAGAGAAAAGTACTTAAGCAGTTGGAAATGAAACTTTTCAACAGCAATAAATAGAATAATGATCCTTGATTAAGTCTCTTTATGTTCTTAGTGCAGTCTACTTGCATGCCACATTTATATTATAATCAGACTAAAATTGTACTTGGAGTAGCATTTTGAAAGAATTTCACAGAAATTTCTAATTTTAGTAACCATGGCAACACCGTTCATCGAAATCAAAAACCGATATACAGAATTATGTATCTTATTGTAGTTTACTTGTGTGCCAAGTTATATTGAAATCAGACCAAAACTGTAGAAGGAGTAGCATTTTGAAAGAATATCACAGAAATTTCTAGTTTTAGTAACCACGGCAACACCGTTCATCGAAATCAAAAACCGATATACAGAATTATGTATCTTAGTGTAGTCTACTTGTGTGCCAAGTTATACTGAAATCAGACCAAAACTGTAGGAGGAGTAGCATTTTGAAAGAATTTCACAGAAATTTCTATTTTTAGTAACCACGGTAACACCGTTAATCGAAATCAAAAACCGATATACAGAATTATGTATCTTAATGTAGTCTACTTGTTTGCCAAGTTATATTGAAATCAGACCAAAACTGTAGGAGGAGTAGCATTTTGAAAGAAATTTCACAGAAATTTCTAGTTTTAGTAACCACGGCAACACCGTTTATCGAAATCAAAAACCGATGCACAGAATTATGTATCTTAGTGTAGTCTGCTTGTGTGCCAAGTAATATTGAAATCAGACCAAAACTGTAGGAGGAGTAGCATTTTGAAAGAATTTCACAGAAATTTCTATTTTTAGTAACCACGGCAACACCGTTTATCGAAATCAAAAACCGATACACGGAATTATGTATCTTAGTGTAGTCTACTTGTGTGCCAAGTTATATTGAAATTAGACCAAAACTGTAGGAGGAGTAGCATTTTGAAAAATTGTTTACAGACAGACAGACAGACGGACGGACGCCGGACGCATTACTATCGCATAAGCTCTTCTGGTCTCTGACCAGTAGAGCTAAAAAATGAAATCCTACAAAGACTGTGATGTGAAGAGGAAACCTATTGAAAAGTAAAATTTATTCGGCTTCGCTTTGGCCAGATACTGATGTTCGATATACCATTTGAATGTAAAACATACACATATTTTATGTTTAAATTTCAATTGTCATATTTAATTTTTTAAATAAAAACTATTAACTGACAGGTACACCTACATAAACAAAATTTCTAGGGCAAGAGGGTGAAGTAAAATGTATGCTTAAAGTAAATTTAGACCTATTCATGTGATCGAATATTCGTAATTATTAGAGCATTCGATAACGAATTATTGACGAAAATTTTATGCCCCTACTGATGTAAATAAGTGTGGATTATTTGAAACTAAGATTATTTTTATTGATACTAAATGTGTGTAGTTTAAATGTAAGATCATCTTTTTAGGTGGAGATGGTACCGTATATGTACTTTGGGGAAAACATTCCTGCCCTTCCAATGTATCTGTGACCATCTACTCAGGTAGGCAAATTGCTGTAAAAAGTGTTGGAGTTTTACTTTAATACAAACAAGCTAATTCAGAGAATTTGTGTCCCCCGCTTAAGGAAAAAGTAAAACATGCGCAGTTCGGGGGGAGGGAGGGGGGGGGGGGGGAGTTGGATCCCCCTCACTGAATTTGTAGAATTATTAAATATATACGTGCATGTATACCGAAGCAAATAAAAAATACCATTATGGATACAAAGATTTAATTGCTTATTCTTTATTATGTGTATAGAATCTTTTTATATGGAATATTTATCACACTGTAGTGATGATTTTATGAGTTTGTACAAGCCAGACCTCGTAAATTTTTCATTTCGCGTGCTGAAAACTATTATTTAGTTAAAAAAAAGTATTTCAAAAAAAGAATGTCCGTCCGGTACTTGAACTCGGGACCTCTCACACTGGAAGCGATAAACATACCACTAGACCACGGAATCGCTTTACATAGAGTCAAGTATATGCAGAAGTGAAGTCACATACATGTATATATTCATGTTCGGTATTGTCAAAATTTTACACAATCCATGGTGTTTGATTTATTTAGCCTTTATTAAACAGTTCTAATAGATGTAATTAGAACATAAAGTCCGCCGAGAACCTGTTTTATACGCAGTAACTCTCCTCATGCCCCTGTGCTAAAAATAGCGACATGTAATACTATAAATACTAATAAAACAAACAGGGCGGGGCACTTTGAGAAGGGTGAGAGAGGTCCTATGGAGTTTTGGTATAAAATTACATTGAATAAGCTCAAAATCTTCTTGAAATATCGCTCGGAAATGATAGTGTTACACACAGACAGAATGTGTAAATTTACGACCTTGAACTTTGACCTTTTGACCTCATAATCAATAGGGGTCTTTATTAGGCCACAGAGAGTTGTTACCGTATATACTCGCCTATAAGTCGGTCCGCCTATAAGTCGGTTGTATTTAATAAGCTTGTATATCAGATGGACTGACCTCATATAAAACCATACTTTTAATAGCTCGCCTATAAGTCGGACAAAGAGTTGTAGACTAGAGTTGAACTCCCCAAAAACCGACTTACAGGCGAGTATGTACGGTATGTAAAATTTCATTGCAATAGCTCAAATGGTTCTAGAGATATCGTGTGGAAACGAAAGTATTATAACAGACAGAATTTGCTTATTTATGACCTTGACCTTTGACCTTTTGACCTTAAAATGAATAGGGTTCTTCTTTAGTCCATAGGAAGTTGCTGTGCTAAATTTCATTGCAAAAGCTCAAAGGGTTCTCGAAATATCGTGTGGAAACGAAAGCATTACAGACAGACAGAAAGACGGACGGACAAACCCAAATTAATATCCCCCACTTTTCAAGCGGGGGACAATAAAATGTGTTTGTGAGACACAAATACCTCAATATGGCAGCTTATGGTGATGTTCAACACAGTTCAAAATTTATGGTCAAGATTAAAGTTTTTTAAAAGTAAGTCAAACACCAAGATCAAGCTTGTAGGTAACCAAATGCAGGTCTTGTCAAAAGTTTTTAAAGCGAGTATAACTCTAAGATAAATTTCAAATATATCTATACTCATAGTAAAACTGGTCTCAATTAAGAGCATGTCTACGAGAAAACCATGCAAAAGGTTATGGGAGCAAGGTTCTCTGATCAACTTCATGTTTTGTGTGTAAATTTCTTCTATAATATGAAATATTTTGCCACAAAATTTTTTTCAGTGTGGTCTCACTTAAGGGGGTAAATCGACATTGTTACTAAAAATGGAATTCTTGGTCCTTTCACAGGTTGAAAACAGGAATTTTATAGGATTTTATTTTCAAAAATTCAGCATTTTATTTAATAATGATATAAAATATCCATATATCGTTGAAAGTAATAAGATACACTTGTTTCGGAAAATCTTTCATAATCACAAACTGTGCCTCCGTTTAAGTGCAAAAAGGTCACAAATCTGGCATATTTCCAGATTTTTGAAAACTGGTGAAAATACTCACTTTTCAAAAACCTATAACTGAGAAAGTGATGCTTAGAATCAACTCAATCATATACCAATTATTAGACAACATGTCTTTTTACATTATATAAAAAAATCTGTCTTTGGACTCTCAAATTTGTGGCTGTACCTTTTACTTAAAGTTGGACATTTTTTTTTCAATTTTTAAATTATCTCATCCTTGAACTTCAGCAAGGAGATTTTTTGCTTAGTTAAATATTTTCAAAATTTAAATTTTGCTGTTGAAAAATACCAGTATGTTGTACATTCTTGTTCTTAATCAATTTAATTATATCTTAGGGGTTAAATGGGGTTAATGGGGGGGGGGTTACCTGAATTGTATTATTTTACAGTGCTTTGAAAAAGGTGAAATTCACATACTGCTTAGCACCTGTTTGTCGACCAAGTGTGTTCTCTCTAATCTTAGAAAAAATAATACATTTGCTCAATAGATAATAAACATAGTACACTGGTACCTACAAATAAGTAGATGGCCCCTTTTAGTTTGGAGTTCAAAAGGCCAAAGGTCAAGGGTTACAATTCTCTAGATAAACCAGAATGTAGATTTTAATCATTCAAAATCTTGAGGACCCATTGCTTCACAGACATCAAATTTAGTATACTGGTTTCTTGAAAAGTAGAGGACCCCTCTAGATTTTGAGGACACAATGTCAAAGGTCAAACTGAACAAAAAGGAATATCAGAGCCATTTTCTTGACAGAAATATTGTCATGGCAACAAACTCAAAATGAATGAACTCCAAGTTTTTAAAATCAACAAATTAGGACATTTTTAATTTTTAATTTCATTGCAGATTTAAATTTGAATATCACTCAATAACTTAGTACATTCAACAACAACAAAAAATTACAATGCTTGACTGCTTCCTGATATTTAATATTCACTTCCAAAATTAAAATGACCTTGAAATTTTGTATGCTTGAAAAAATTCTACTTGCTTAAGTATACATCATGATTCTTAATTAAGATAAGATTTAAAAGAAAAAATCACAGCTTCCCAAGTCATATTATGAATTATTTGCTATACCTGTATACAGGAAATTAGTCTTTATAATAGTGTTATATTTGGTAAAACAAAAGCACTGTTGACCTTGATCTTTGACCTTATCTAACAAAACAAACACTGAAAATTTACTCTGAATTTTTGTGTATCCCTGCAAGTGAAACATGATACATATTGAATATTAAGATGTTAACAATGTTGAAGTACATGTAGCAATAAGTAGATGGCCCCTTTTAGTTTGGAGTTCAAAAGGCCAAAGGTCAAGGGTTACAATTCTCTAGATAAACCAGAATGTAGATTTTAATCATTCAAAATCTTGAGGACCCATTGCTTCACAGACATCAAATTTAGTATACTGGTTTCTTGAAAAGTAGAGGACCCCTCTAGATTTTGAGGACACAATGTCAAAGGTCAAAGGTCAAACTGAACAAAAAGGAATATCAGAGCCATTTTCTTGACAGAAATATTGTCATGGCAACAAACTCAAAATGAATGAACTCCAAGTTTTTAAAATCAACAAATTAGGACATTTTTAATTTTTAATTTCATTGCAGATTTAAATTTGAATATCACTCAATAACTTAGTACATTCAACAACAACAAAAAATTACAATGCTTGACTGCTTCCTGATATTTAATATTCACTTCCAAAATTAAAATGACCTTGAAATTTTGTATGCTTGAAAAAATTCTACTTGCTTAAGTATACATCATGATTCTTAATTAAGATAAGATTTAAAAGAAAAAATCACAGCTTCCCAAGTCATATTATGAATTATTTGCTATACCTGTACACAGGAAATTAGTCTTTATAATAGTGTTATATTTGGTAAAACAAAAGCACTGTTGACCTTGATCTTTGACCTTATTTAACAAAACAAACACTGAAAATTTACTCTGAATTTTTGTGTATCCCTGCAAGTGAAACATGATACATATTGAATATTAAGATGTTAACAATGTTGAAGTACATGTAGCAATAAAATCGTACAAGTTAACATATATGAAATACCCTGAAATATTGGTCACTACGCAAGCTTCTTCAATTATAAACTGTCTTTTTTTCTTCATGTTCGGTACATCATTTGGGTTGATCTTGAGGTCTCAAGCTTTCAAAACATATAAGGTGTATCCAAACTATTCTGTTCAGTATGACCCCATTTTTTTCCTATGTAGCATCCAATACATTCTGGAGAAAATTTAAGAAGCACTGAAATTTCCACTCCTGGTTTAAAGAACTGGACTGTCTCCAAATACACAAAAGTAGTACTCAAAGCATGTACCTGTGAAAAAGGACAATTTTCAGATTAAATTGAAATAAACCATACTTGACATATTCTAAGATTTTTAAAATAAATGTCATGTTTATGATAATGCTACATTTATATTTTCCAATTTAAGAAAATGTCATCAAATGACTTGGGTAAGATTATTCACAAATTCTTCTGGCTATCTCTGAAAAAAAAAAACAAGAGCCTCTTAATTATCTTCTTGAAGTAAAGTAACAGAATAGGGAAAAATGCATGTGGCAAATCGACAGACAGAGAAGGCAATTCCTATACTATAGTATAACATATCTTTACCATTTTCTCAGCAGTGGCATGTAACTGGTCATACTCATGCTGAAACTGCATTGTCCCTCTTCTTCTTATTTCTGGATTCTGTTCACAAAACTACATTGGAAACCCTACATAGTAATTCTTTATAGCTCCACAGCTGAAAATCCCATTGTAAAGCCCAGCCCTATCCAAGGAAATGAATATGAATAATCTGAAATTGCATGAGAAATATAAGAATGAAATGAAATATTCTTTACAAAGTACAATTTCCCAGTCTTATATTTATAATATCAGTTGTTTTAAACACAAACCTGTCAAGGAACACATGGTGCCCTTTGAATTTGAAAACTCTGCAGTCTGCACAAGTATTTAACAACTCTTTTTTCCAAATAAATGTGATCTCCCATAAAGAAAATTCTACTCTTCCATATAAAGCCAAAAATCATAACTGTAGCTATCTTCATAACATCTCATAAATATCTGAAAAAAATATTGTGTTTAATGAGATTCTTTATCATCATGCATCCCGCATATGAGGCAATATTATGGTGATTTAATTGACAGTGAAGACCCACCTATCCAATTCTTAATTTACCCTATTAGTAAACAGTCCTTGAAAACCCTGGACCTATTTAACTTTTCCTTCCCTTTTCATCACCCCACAAAGGCTAATTAGATCTCTATGCTATTTATAATTCAGCAGATGTGAATATGTTGCATACATATATGTATTTTGCAATATTGTTGAATTTATACAGATATTTTTATTGCTACATGCACATGTACCAACCTTAAATTTCTCTTGACATGTTTGCTAGGTATATATTCAGGTCCAGTACAATCACTAGATTTAGCTACGTAGGTAGATTTTTTTATAAAAATAAATAACTTTGGTAGCTAAATAAAGCTATTTCAGGTAGCCAAATAAAGCTAAGTAGGTAAATCAAGCTACGTAGCTAAATCTAGTGATTGTACCAGACCTGATATTGTCTTGTAAAAAATCTTCTCTGGTATATAATCAAGTCCCAATCAACATTGTTTATTTATTTATTTTTTACATATCAATAAGACAATAACCCTTTTTTATAATGTACATAGTATTATAAACCAAGATCCAACTTTCAAATTCAAACGTTGTTGATTCGGTATCATCATCACTACATCCGTCTCGCTACCAAATGAATGTTCGATATCAGAATCATATTCACCAAAATCAGAGCCAGAATCTGAAGACTCGATAACAATTCATGCACCTGAATCTTTTTCTGAGGACGTACAAAACGTTGCAGGAAGCCATGATGTTTACACGTGGTTACGGAACCGTACATCGATCCCGATGGATTTCATATTTTGTGTATTTTTTACTTAGGCCACTAGCATATATGTAACAAATTAAATTCACAGGAAGGGCAATTTTCTTAAAACCAAACATAATGTATGCCTAAAACGATAAAATGACAAACATCTCTTCATAAACATAATCATTATCTACCTTCTCTACAGAAGAGTGCAACAGGGGAGATAATTCTTACAAAATCTAAAATAACTGTAAAATACGTGTTTTTTTTCACATAAAAAGCAGGGGAAAATTAATTTATTGCTTGTATAAAATTGAAAATAATTTTTATTGTTTATATTTGTAAATATATTGCACAAAATTCATTTAAATTACTGTAAAAGTTAAACTTAAAAAATCACCATTTTTTCTATCATTTGAATTTGAGATGATTTTATTACGATGTAACTTTTATGTCCTTGAGAGTCCAAAGGTGGATTTTATATATTGCTGAGATAATATCTTGGAAATTTTTAAATGAACAAAATTCTGAAAAAATAAGCGTCACTTTCTAAGAAATATATCCCTGAATATTGACAAAAAATGAATCATTATCATTCCTTGGCACAATGCCAATATTTGTGCTCTTGGGGCAGCCTTTGATACAGGGGTATTACAAAAATTTTGATTCCAACTTAATCTTATGACTCAGTTCTGTAAGAAAACATTGCCCTTTTCTTCATATATATTGTTTTTTTCTTTTTTACTTTTAAATATAGAAATGGTCGTTTTTTCACCAATTTTTTGGCATTTTCCCTTGAATATTGACCAAAATGAATTATTGGTTGTTACTAAAAATAGAAACAACCGATGCAAAAATAAACAACATATTTCTGACTCTCAATGGGTGTCCTTTAAGTTAATAATAAAAATTTGTTTGTTCTTGAGACTGCCTACCAGAGCATTTTTCTATATATCTGCATGGTTTTCTCGTAGACACGCTCTTAATACAAATGTGGAGTATTAAAGCCCGTGCATCAGTTACGCCTAAGATTGAAATTTGGTAAATTTTCCAGATGTTGATCGAACACCCATCGAAAGGTCTATCACAAGGAATACATGTCTGGTATGTGATAGCCATATATAGCTGCAACCTATCAAACGTTATGAGTAATGTTAATGTTTTTGCGCACGAATTCATAAGACAATCAGACAAAAACTGGGCAAAAACTATATACCCCTAAATTTTAGATTAGGGATGTATGTTATGGCACCTGTGAAATGGCAAATTAAACAAAAGTGAATACTCTTCATGACGAATTGCGAAGCTGTGTCGAAATTGCACAACTACAAGGGGCATCACATTAACTGAATTAAATCATATTTTAAGGATACGCAGCTGGTGGATGGTGGAATTACCAGGGTGCACCACCAAACTATCTTTGTCTCCCGGATGACCCTGTATCAAGCGGAAAGACATTTTCTGGTGGTTCAGTAAACTACGTATATGGTGTAGAATACGAAACCAACTTTTGGAAAGTCCATTCAAGTAATGAAGATGCACCTTGCGCTGTATGTGCAAGCTTATCTGGATCAAAGATGGTGATGATTCCAGGACGCAGTTCATGTTATTCAGGTTGGACAATGCAGTATCATGGATATCTCGGAGCAAATTATTATGATTATAAAAGTAGCTCCGAGTATGTCTGCGTTGACCACGATCCTGATTTTTTAAATGGTGGTGAAAGGGGAACCGATGGTGCTCTCTTTTATCCTGTTCTGTATCAGTGTGGTGCCTTGCAATGTCCACCATATACCGGCAATGAAGTTGTTAACTGTGTTGTCTGCACAAAATAATTGTTCAATAAAATAGTCACCATAAATTAATTCTCTCTTCCATGCTATTCTATTTTTTTTTAAAGTTAGAAATAAAACATTTCCTTTGTAGACTGAAAACTAAATTTGCTTTACTAAATGCATCTGATGCTAAAATGAAAAAGATTCCTCACTGATCGTTGGCAATGACTGCCGAGTTTAGGTATAAATGCAGCTCTCCACCGGAATAGGTGGCTCTCCATATGACAAGGTTTATCTCGCATGAATAAGCCTGCTGCCAGATTATTTCGAGCACAATTTGCTTCTTAATTTTATTATGGTTCGAGGATAACTGTAATTTCTTTCGAACAACTAATTAAGCATCATTGAGCATGCTCACTGCCAGCTTCCTCTTTGTCATTCTCCAAAGTTTTAAGCCGGGAACATTTTGGTGCAGAATTTTATCTCGCTCATCGACAAATTAAAGAAGGTATTTGCGCGACAAGTGAAGTAAGTAAATAATTTTATTGTTTGCTGAATTATTTCATACTAATTTACTGGAGGACAAGTGATTGTTGATCATCTAAAGTAAAGTTAGAACAAATTGGCATGTGGTATTGGCCATTTTGAATAAAGGTTGGTTTTAAATAAATGCAAAATTTAAAATAAATAAATAATATTAGAAGGGAGTGGGTGGTTGTGGCTATTTTCAGACCATATTGATTTACGTTAGATGAAGAGCTCCATAGAAAGATATACAAAAAGGATCAAATTTCAAAACTAAGATTTAATATATTTTTCTTTTCCAAATGATAGCTAACAGCTTAAAATATCACATCTAAAAAAATTATATCTAACGGTTAATTTGTTAATTTGTTGCACCCCCTAGCCTGCTTAAAATGCCAATAATCAGAATATGTCCCAGAATATTTGATACCATTTCATGATTATGTAAAAAAAATAATACAATTATTATTGAAGATCAGTGCATGTAAATGCACTTTAAACACTGCATATACTGTCCAATTTTATTCACAAAATTTGACGAACATGGAAAGAAACCCGAAAAAATGAGTTTTTAGCTCACCTGAGCCGAAGGGGAGATAATTATGAATTAATGAAAAATTAATGGCATCTTTTCAAATTCTTCTTCTTCTCCAGAACCATTTGGCCAGAAAGATGAGACTCACGTGGAGGCATCCTCGGGTAGTGTAGATTCAAGTTGTTCAAATCGTGACCCCTGGAGGTAGGGCGGGACCACAATGGCTGATCAAAGTCTACATTGCAATATGTAGGAAAAATCTTTAAAATCTTCTTCTCCATGCAGAACCAATGGGCCAGGAAAGATAAAACTCACGTGGAAGCATCCTCAGGTAGTGTAGATTCAATTTTGTTAAAATCATAACCCCGGAGGCAGGGCGGGTCCACAATGGCTGATCAAAGGTTTACATAGGAATATACAGAATTTTTTTAAATCGTATTCTCCAGAACCATTGGACCAGGAAAGATGAAACTCACGTGGAAAAATCCTCATCAGGTAGTGTAGATTCAATTTTGTTAAAATCATGACCCCCTGGGGTAGGGCGGGTCCATAATGGCTGATCAGAGGTTTACATAGGAATATATAAAATTTGTTTTTCTAAAAATCATCTTCTCCAGAACAATTGGACCGGGAAAGATGAAACTCATGTGGAAACATCCTCAAGATCAGGTAGTGTAGATTCAATTTTGTTAATATCATGACCCCTTTGGGGTAGGGCGGGGCCACAATGGTTTATCAAAGTTTAACATAGGAAGATATAGAATTTTTTTTAAAAAATCCTCTTCTCCAGAACCATTGGACCAGGAAAGATGAAACTCTTGTGAAAACATCCTCAGGTAGTAGATTAAATTTTGTTAAAATCATGACCCCAGGGGTAGGACGGGGCCACAATGTCTGATCAAAGTTTAACATAGATATCTGGTTCTGGAGAAGAAGATTTTTTTAAAAATCCTACATAGGACCAGGAAAGATGAAACTCATGTGGAAGCATCCTCAGGTAGTGTAGATTCAAGTTAGTTCAAATCATAGTTCTGTGTCTCCATTATTCAAACTGTGTCAGATTCTTTTACTGAAATATTTTGTTGCTAAAAATGTATATTTATTAAAATATTAAATTTATGAAACAAAGAAATTGGTCGAGACATGCGTTTCTCATAATAATTTCAGATGGTATCATATATCTTGCGACTCCCTATTATCGCCAGAACGTAGCTTTAACAATCGATGCATTGTGCGCCTAGATTAACTGCGAAAAAAAATTCGTTTGGATCAAAGTGCAAAGTTCGAATTTTCTCTTTGCCCTGGCATTGCTTTTAGGTTTCGTCAAAGGTCAACATGTCTAAAAAATTATTTTTACAATAGCTCCAAAACTACGTGTGTTATAAAGTCAAACTGTTTACAGTTTATAAATATGTCATTGATTAATAGATAGAAAGTATCACTTGATAACAAATATTTTAAAAAATATATTTTTTGAGAAAAATTGTATCAGAAAATGTGCATATTTAAAGAGAAATGCACCTGCTTAATTCTGTCCTTTTTGTGAAAACCATCATTGCAGAAATAATATATGTTTATCATTGAAGGGCAAGTTGGACGTGAATGGTCTCTGAAAGGTTGTTATTGAAAGCATGACATACATGTATAAAGACAAGACCCTGTAGAACCCGCCATTTGTATTGTACTTTCGCTTTCAAGTACTAACATTTCGACAAAATAAACAGGAAAAACAACTTTCTGAGGCTATCCAAGTCCAACTTGCCCTTCATTGATAAACATATTTTGTTTCTGCAGTGATGGTTTTCACTAAAAGCACGGAATTAATTAGCTGCATTTTCTGAAAATATAACAGTTTTAAAAAGATTTTTTCTCAATTTAAATATTTTTTCCAAACATTTTTTTATCAAGTGATACTTTCTATCTGTTAATCAATGGAAAATTTATAAACTGTAAAAGTTTTAACTTTATGCCCCACATAGTTTTGGAGTTATTTAAAGAATAAAATGCTTTCTTTGTTTGTTATTATTGGAATGAACGGAAGCAGCTGTTGCAGAAAAATACATAACCCGCGTAAGACATTTTATTGTTTATATTTAAGTCTGTTTAAATTATCATTTTAAGTTGGATTAAAAATATTATTTCTTGTGTTAATGATGCGAACGTCTTTGTACGTTTCAATGATGGAACGGCCACTGATCAAGAAATCTGTACAGGTGATATGCCTAATGTAGTTCATGCAGTGATGAACGCAATGGGTTTTCTTAAGAAATAAAGAAGAAAACATTCAGTGGATGTAAATATTGTAAAAATAAATTTTTGGACATGTTGACCTTAAGAGATCGCAGTGATAATTTTTTGCTGCGCTCGCTATATTAACAATATAAAACCTGAGTCTCTGTCAAGACTAGCTCTACCGATTTTTACTTAATATCAAAGGAAGTGAAAAGTAGCAGTTGGGACTTGAAACTTTACAACAACAATGAATAGAATAATGATCTTTGACCTAGTCTCTTTTTGTATCAAGATTGCAATAAGACTACAACTGTATGAATAGGATTATCTTTTAAGGATAAATAACACAAACAAACTTTTTTTTCAAAAATCAACATTATTTTTCATAGATTTACATTTAACTTGACATCCTGAATAATGTTTACCAAGTAGAAAGAGAGAATTATATAAGATTTTGTCATAAGGTTAAAAAATCGTGCAAGTTTTTGCATGGAATTATATATATATTATATTATTATTATTTATATATATCAATCCAAGTTAATTCTCAATCATCAAAGCAGTTTAAGTGATATTCATACAATTTTCAATGGTCTTTGCTAAAAACCTAATTGCAAGTACACGTATTTACACGTTCGCTTACAATGTATTGGGGCTCACCCTTCTGCAGGTTTGGCAACAACACCGTCAGAACCAACCTAATCTCCCTGCCCAACAAGTCCAATACAGGCCTAGATTCCCACAGCAGCGTCTTCGTCAGGAATTCATGTACAAGCAATTTATTTTTAAAATACATTATGGGACTTGCATGGGTAATATCTCTGTAAAAGTCAACAACCTGCTCAAACTCATGCATCATAACACATAAGAAATAATTATGCGCCCGAATCGATAGATCCGAGGCGTATATTGTTTTTGTCCTGTCTGTTTGTTTGTTTATCTGTTTGTCTGTCTGTCTGTTTTCAACTTTAACCTTCGCCATAACTTTTGAATCATGAGAGATAGAGACTTCATAATTGATATGCATACTCGACCAATGAAGCTCTTTCAAATGGCACCAAGGTCAATGACCTTGTGACCTTGACTGTGACCTGTATGCTAAAAATAACTTTTTCGAACTTTCGCCATAACTTTTGAACCATGAAAAATAGAGACTTATATATGGTATGCATACTTGACCAATGAAGCTCTTTCAAATGGCACCAAGGTCGGTGACCTTGACTGTGATCTTTATGCTAAAAATAGCTTTTCAGTCTTTTTGCCATGACTTTTGAACCATGAGAGATAGAGACTTCCTATTTGGTACGCATACTCCACTAATGAAGTTCTTTCAAATGACACCAAGGTCGATGACCTTGTGACCTTGACTGTGACTTATCTGCAAAAAATATTTTTTTTGAACTTTTTTACCGCCGGGCGCATAGTGTTTCACAAACACATCTTGTTTAATAGATATTTCAGAACCAGCATAACACATTTCACTGCCAAAAAAAAACAGCTTTTGGGCAACCAGCATGGAAAAATACGAATATAAGTATATGGTTCAATCGGGAAAAATGATCATTTTCTTCTTCTTTCATAAACTAAAGTTCCTAGCTTAATCCTACTTGAATGGAATTTAATCGTGTTTTTTCCCCATTGAACATAAATTAATTTGCATTGTAGAATCCAGATTAATTGTAATGTAATGTGTAATTGAGTTCGTACTTTGTTTAAAACGTTAAAATGACAAACAATTTTTCTCAATCACTAATTAGATTTATATTATTTAATAAGTATCCCTGCCTTGGGTATAAATCACGAAAGAATCAAAAATACAACAAGCTAATTACGGCGAAGGTCAACCAAACTTCTTATAAAATAGATACACAAGTACCAAGGACAGGTCGGCTCTATTCGGGCCCCTAACCCTGGCACCTGTGATCTTCCTGACAAATTGTCAGACCTTTGGCTTATGGCTTGCCAAACTACTATATCATACAATTGAACAGCTTCGGCTCTACTCGGGCCACTGATCAATTGTATGTGTTCAGAAGTTAAAACTAGAAATAATTATTACCTATCTTCTTCTTCGCTGTTACAGGAATGACACTGTCTCTCAGCGTCTCTTAATTTTATACTATAGGGAGAGTCTATTATAAAGGGGTGTCGGGTTATTCCATTATAAATAATTAGGGTCTCTAAAACGTTTGAAGAAATAAACCAAAACATCACATTACCCACGCCTCTGGGTACATTCGTCCCGAATGAAAAAAAATCTTTTTTATATGTTTTTATTTTCAATTAAACAATGAAACAAGCAACCAAAAGAACCATACTTTGGTTAACACTATCTGTGTTGGACATGGTTATTATACTCTCTAACATAAAACAAATTTCTCAACAATGGTTTCTTTAATATCCACTGGACCCTCTCTAAATTTCTTTACGGTTTTTACAGTAACGTCCGTGCGAAATTCAGTTTGTGTACCAATGTCAATCACAGTTTTCTTACTCTCAATCAGTTTAGCATCATCATTGGATGGACGTTTCCCCGTTAGCATCGGAGATGTTTTCTTGCGGAAAACCCGCCCCACCATGATATCAGAGTCTGGTCTCTTTACTGTTTATGTAGATGCACTTTGGCCACTGGCACAAGCTGTATTGGTCTCATTGGATTCCGTCAAAAGTAAGTCACCTGGGTCTTGTAACAACCATTCTTCTTTCTCTGAATCGCTTTTACTTGACAAATTAGTGTTGTATTCTTTTTCTGAGTTCTCTGGTTTGTCTTCACTTGCTGGGTCAAGCTTCTGCCCCAAAGGCATTGGACTTTCCAATAAACCTGCATGTGCTCTCTTCATTTACATTATTTTTGTGATGTAAAATCACAAAATTCACAAGAATGTTCTTTCATGGCACATTGTACAACATGCATGGAGAACTCTGTCTCCTTGAAAGAGTTCGGCACACATAGGGCACTTCCTTGTCCCACTCCGTTTGGTTAACTTTGTTTTCACCATGGTTTTGCGTGATCTGAAATAGACAACAGTATATTATACTCTAAAATATTACTAGTACTCAGTTTCATAATCTTTTAACCAAATTAGAGGTCTTCTGCTTCTAAACTGTCGTGTAGGTAACTCTATTACCAACAGAACCTATCCCATCAGTACTACCCTGATGCTCAATAATTGTATCTTTTGCAATTGCTTTCTCGTCATTTATGTCATCAGTCAGATATTCGTTTTTGTCAAGAATTCTGTCGTCTCTCTGTTCTACAACATCTGGAGTTTCTCCAAATAATGTTTGATGTCGTTTCAATCTCATTCTATCGACGTGTATGACCTGATTTGACCCCCGTGCTCCGCAATTCACCATATAAGTTACATCAGACATTACTTTAATGACTTTGTATGGTCCATGCCAATAACTCGTGAATTTTGGGGACTGTCCTGTCTTAGTTCTGGGAAAGTAAACATAGACCTCATCATTTTCCTTGAATTTTGCCCAATTCAATTTTCTGTCATGGTAATGTTTCTGACGAACCATGGCTTGTTGTGTATTTGTGCGTACAATTTTATGTGCATTTTCAAGTCTTTCTTGCAGTTCCCAAACCCATTTATTTTGAGGTATTGGTTTAATAGCAGAGGGTACATCATACATGATGTCTAAAGGAGTGCAAACCTCCCTTCCAAGCATTAATGAATTCGGCGAAAAACCAGTGGTTTCATGGATTGTGGACCTGTATGCCATCATGACATAAGGTAAATGCTCATCCCAATCCGTGTGATTGTCATTAACAAAATTGCTGAGCATAGTTGTGAGAGTCCGATTGAAACGTTCCACCATACCATCCGATTGGGGATGATATGGCGTTGTGTGTGTCTTTCGAATTCCAAGCAAAGTACACATTTCGGAGAACAGTTTGCTTTCAAACTGCCTACCTTGGTCTGAGTGGATGACTGCTGGTGTACCAAATCGACATATCACCTCTTCTACTATGATCTTTGCAATCGTACTTGCTTCCATATTTGGCATTGCAAAACTTTCTGTCCATTTAGTATAATAGTCTGCAACCACCAGGATGTACTTGTTTTCATTCTTTGTGACTGGTAGCTCGCCTAAAATGTCTGTTGCTATTCTCTCAAAAGGATAACCAGAATGTACTACCTTCATGGGTGCACACTTGGTTACATTGTCACTCTTCCTTTTAGAACAAAGCTCAAAACAAGCTATATACTGTCGCACATCCCGCTGTAACCCAGGCCAGCAATATCTATTGCGAATTTTAGACAATGTCTTCTTAATACCAAGATTACCTGAAGTTTTCTCGTCATGGTATTGTCTAAGAACATTACGGCGCTCAGAGTATGGGACTACATACTGATAAAGTGTCTGCTTTGACGACAATTCTTCCCACTTTCGACAGATTAGATTATCTTTAATGCACAGTCTATCAAACTGGGAAACCAATGACTTAAGAAAATAGTTTTCTGGTGCCACTTTCTTAGAACCAGGAGAGGAACCTTCCTCAATCCATTCCCGTAACTTTTGCAGATCATTGTCATTTTTCTGAGCTAACTGTAGTGACTGACATTGCTCAATCTGGTTACAAATATTTACATCTGAGTCCTCTTTTTCAAGTGTACTGTGATAACCACATTGCTTACATGGAAGCCTGCTCAATGCATAAGCATTTGTATGTAAACGCCTTGGACGATGTTCAATTCTGAAATTGAAAGTTGATAGTATATCTATCCAACGTGCAAACTGTCCCTCAGGGTTTTTAAATTGCATTAACCACCTGAGAGAACTGTGATCTGTCCTTACAAGGAATTTCTCTGCCATACAAGTAATGTTTGAAGTACTTGACAAAATGTGTCACTGCTAAGAGTTCCTTTCTGGTAACACAATAACGACGTTCAGATTTTGACAAGCACCTACTTGCATATGCACAAACTCTTTCCTTGCCATCAATTACCTGCAAAAGTACAGCACCAATGGCTTTATCACTCGCATCAGTGTCTAAGATAAATTCCTTTTCAAAATCTGGATGTGTAAGAATTGGTTCTGAAGTCAGAATTTGTTCTAGCTTGTCAAATGAAATCTGACATTCCTCTGTCCATTTAAAGGGTTTCTCTTTGGACGTCAAGTCATGCAAAGGTTTTGCAATAGAGGCAAAATCCTTGACAAACTTCCTATAATAACTACACAGACCAATAAATGATCTTACTTCTGTAATATTGGAAGGCGTATTCCAATCTTGAATTGCTTTGGTCTTATCTGGACTTGTAGCTATCCCATTTGAAGATACAACATGACCCAAAAACTCAACTTGTCTGGCAAAAAGAGTACACTTTTTCGGTTTTAGTTTCAGTCCTCCTTCTTCAAGACGGTCAAACACTCTTGAGAGATTTTCTATCATAGCTTCAAAATTCTTTCCAAAGACTATAATGTCGTCAAGATAAATAAGACAGATTTCAAATTGCAAACCGCGCAGCACTGTTTCCATAAGACGTTCAAATGTTGCTGGCGCGTTGCACAGGCCAAATGGCATTACTGAAAACTCATACAAGCCTCGTCTTGTTGTGAAAGCTGTTTTCTGCTTGTCTTGAGAGTCAACGGCCACTTGCCAATACCCTGAACATAAATCTAACGTAGAAAACCAGGTAGCACCACTAAGCTGATCCAGAGATTCATCTATCCTTGGCAAAGGATATGCATCATGCTTCGTAATTTTATTCAGCTTTCTGTAATCTATACAAAATCTGGTGGTACCGCCTTTCTTCCTTACTAACACTATACTGGACGCCCATGGACTATTTGAAGGCTCAATGATATTTCGTTGTAGCATATCATTAACATGCATGTCCACCTCCTTTAGCATACACTGTATGCACAGGTATTCTCCTTGGAGGCTGCTTAATAGGTGGGTTGCCACCTGTACTAATCTTGTGTTTAATAATGTTGGTTCTCCCTAAATCTCGGTCAGACTTTGCAAAAGATGACTGGTAACGTATTAGTAACTGAAGTACAACTCGCTTGTTCTCCGGTGACATACCTGTACTTGACCTTACATATAAATCTTGCAAATGATCTGGCAGTTCTAAATTTTCTTTGCAATCTGCTGTCCTTTTGCTCGTGGTCGCTGTCAAAACATTTTGAACCGAGTGTAGTTCAGCAATGAATGTGCCTTTCCTTAAATGTGTTACCTCATTCTGTACGTTCATAAGACGCACTGGCACTTTGCTCTCTTTGTTGCAGGTTACAAGTGTTCTTGCTACCAATGCTCTATCAGAATCATTAAAATGCTTACAAGGTTCTACTAAGCCTACTTCAGAGAATGTGCAATCACTTTGGTTATCCAAGCCATGGACATCGCAATAAGTCAAAACTTCACTCTTTGGAGGTATCCCCAGATCTTCACACAGTGTTACTCGGAAGCAACCAATTTTTCCCTTGTATTGACAAGCAACTGCCTTGCCTACTTGACCAAAATTCAGCGAACAGCTCTCCAGGTCTAGTGAACATTTATGAGCCCTTAGGAAGTCTAAACATAATATTCCGTCAACACTTAAATCAGCAACTACCATAGCATGTTCAAAGACCATACCCTGTATGGAAAACTTCATCTCTTGTGATCCATACACTTTTAATGTCGTGCCATCTGCTATTAGAATATCTGTACTTAATTGTTTCAGTGGCTTGTTCGACAAAACTTTGGCTATCATGTCCTTAAACACAATGGAAACTGTTGCTCCTGTATCTACTAAGAATTTCAACGATATATCATGAATTCTTACTTCCGTGAAAATACCGGATTCACCATGTTTATTTATGGCCTCTGAAGCCCCACAGCTAAGTTGTTTAAGATTTCCTCGAGTTTTGTCACTAGTATCTGTACTTGAAAATTTACTCGGTCGACTAGTTTGTTTCTGGGTTTGTTTCTGCCCAGATTGAGAAGCCAAGTATTCTCTACACTGCTTTTTCATATGACCTTGCCTGCCACAATAATAACATTTGAATGTTCTGTTTTGCAGTTCATTTGGATCAGTCTTGTTAAACTTTGGTCGGAACGACCCTACATTAGGTTGCCTTTCTTTCAAAGATTGAACTTCCTTTTGCAATGAGGATAGTGCAACTGTGATATCCTTCAGTACTTCATCAGTTTTATTTCCTTTGCAGTATTGATGTCCTATTTTATCGCCCTGACGTATCCTTCCCTTTCTTGCATCTTTCTGTCAGCACTCTGAAAAGCCTGTAACTCGACTGCATGGCGTACCGCATCGTTCAAATCTACTGGCCGCGCTTGCTTTATCCTAAGCCTCATGTCAGGATCTCGCAATGCATCTATAAACTGCTCTTTTGCAAGTATTTCTTTTAGATCTGCAGTTGCGGTCGGGTATGCCAAATTGGTCAACCTTCGAATGTCTTGTCCTATCTCTGGCAGAGACTCCACTGCTTTCTGTTTTCTCTCACGAAGTTGAGCCCTATAAAGTTCAGTTTGGTTTGTAGGCGCAAACCGCTGCTGAAGTGCTTTACACAACACATCATAGTTACGTTGATCATTCGATGGCAAATTACCTAAGACACCCTGTGCATTTCCTCTCAGGGACACAGCTAAATACATGCCTTTTTCATTTAATGACCAACCATTTAACTCTGCACAAACCTCAAAGTGAGACCGAAAATCACTCCAAGAAGTAGTACCGTCATATGTTGAAGGTTTCACAAAATTTCGCTTTTGCCTGACAATTAGAGACCTGCCAGCATTATTTGATTCATCACCAGGCACGTCACTTGCAATCGCATTGTCAACGTTGTGTGCCACAGGTCTACTAATAGGTCTGTCCTGTGTTATTCGACGTCTGTCAGGCTGGTGTGTCATACTATTATAATGTTCTCCTTGGTGTGCCATACCTCTCTGACCTGCCAAATGACCAGCCAAATTTGAATGGTCTGCCAAACGGCTAGCCCGCTCCCTCTGGATTGCCGTCTGATATTCATTTAGTAAGGTCATCACATTTTGGCGAGGCGTATGGTCTGCCAAATGTCTATGACTTGTATGACGTTCAACTAAAGGTGTTGAGTGCCTGTCCCTTGTCAATTCAAATTCTATTCTATTTATTTCCTCTTCGAGGAATGATATTTCATTTGCAATCAAATCATTCGCGCAAGACCCCATGTCAAATAATTTACCCTTGGCATGCCATAAAGTCAAATGTAGTATGTCAAACAATAAAATTGGTCAGCAAAAAACAAAACAAAGAAGCGAACACCGCTGCCACCAAATAATGTAATGTGTAATTGAGTTCGTAACGCTTACTTTGTTTAAAACGATAAAATGACAACCAATTTTTCTCAATCACTAATAAGATTTATATTATTTAATAAGTATCCCTGCCTTGGGTATAAATCACGAAAGAATCAAAAATACAACAAGCTAATTACAGCGAAGGTAAACCAAACTTCTTATAAAATAGATGCACAAGGTACCAAGGGCAGGTCGGCTCTATTCGGGCCCCTAACCCTGGCACCTTTGATCTTCCTGACAAATTGTCAGACCTTTGGCTTATGGCTTGCCAAACTACTATATCATACAATTGAACAGCTTCGGCTCTACTCGGGCCACTGATCAATTGTATTAGTCCAGAAGTTAAAACTAGAAATAATTATTACCTATCTTCTTCTTCGCTGTTACAGGAATGACACTGTCTCTCAGCGTCTCTTAATTTTATACTATAGGGAGAGTCTATTATAAAGGGGTGTCGGGTTATTCCATTATAAATAATTAGGGTCTCTAAAACGTTTGAAGAAATAGACCAAAAAGTTAGAACTTAAAAACGATGCAAAATTTTAGAAATAAAGGTCTAGACCAAAATCTGCTAAAAAAAACAACTCAGGATTAAACCTTCTTAGGTCTTACTTTGCAGGTTAAGTTTTGAAATTAATGTACACGGTGGTTTAATAGCATAGATTCCTTTTTAGTTAGGAAGTTATTGACAGGTTACAAAAAATCAAAGGTAGTTACACACACCAGAAGACCTATAACAACTCAACTGTTACAAAGTATACTGCTTATATTGCTTATATTGCCAAATATAACATTTTCATCCTACAAATCTGAACTATTTAGCCTTTGTATTAGCATTTTTTGTATTTGTTAAGAGTTGACAAAGTTGTTACATTGGTAGAAAACTATTCAAGGTCACTGGAAGAAATATCGAAATTCGTGCCCGGTCCATATCTTTCTTGTGGATAAACTTGGTAAGTTCCTATTTCACACAAAGATGGCTAATAGCCTGAGAGTGTCTCATGTCCTTGGCCCAAGGTCATCAAGGTCACTGAAAGAAAAATTTCATAATTTATGTTTGGTACATATCTTTCATATGGAAAAAACTTGATTACACAAAGATGGCTTACATGTATGAACTGAGGTGTTTTTTTTATCTTGAGCCAAGATCATTTAAGTTCGAAGTCACTGAAAGAAAAATTTCATAATCCATGTCCGGTCCGTATCTTTCTTATGGATAAACGTGGTAAGTTCCTGTTTTACACAAAGATTGCCTACTAGTATATCTTTAGGTGTGTCATGACCTTGACCCAAGGTCATTTGTGCATGTTTATGGTCACTGAAAAAAAGTTAATAATTTGTGCTTGGTTCATTTCTTATGAATAATCTTGGAGGGTTCTTCTTTTACACAAAGATAGCTTATGACCCGAGAGAGTGTCATGCCTTTGACCCAAGGTCATTTGTGCAAGTTCAAGGACACTGACAAAAAAAAATATCATAATTCATGTCCAGTCCATATCTGTCTTATGGATAAACGTGGTGAGTTCCAATTTTACACAAAGATTGTTTATGACCTGAGGTTGTGTCATAACTTTGAACCAAGGTAATAAATGCAAGTTCAAGATCACTGACAGAAAAAGTTCATAATTTGTGCCTGGTCTGTATCTTTAGTCTTTATTTAGGTCACCTGAGTAAACTCAGGTGACCTATTGCTATCCGTTTTCGTCCGGCGTCGTGCGCCGTGCAGTAACATTTGAACATTTTCAGCTTCTTCTCTGCAACCACTCAACCAATTCAACCAAATTTGGCACAAAGCATCTATGGGTGAAGGGGAACTAAAATTATGAATTTCATGGTCCCTGCCCCCCTGGGGCCTGAGGGGTGGGGCAAAAACCTGTTAAATTAATGAAATCTTTAAAAATCTTCTTCTTTACTCCTGGACATCAAGCAGTCAAACTGTTTGCATGACTGTAATCAGCATTGAGTCCTCTACCAAAATTGTGAAATTCATGGCCCCAGGGTCAGGGGTTCTAGTGCTAGGGCGGGGCTAAATGGATTATATAGTGAAAATGCATAAATTCTTTGAGAATCTTCTTCTCTGCTCCTGGGCATTAAATAATCTAACCAAGTACATAGTTATGTTGAATAAGGTGGTCTCTACCAAAATTGTGAAATTCATGGCCCCTGGGTCGGGGTTCTAGTGCTAGGGCAGGGCTTTATTGATTATATAGTGAAAATACATTAATTCTTTAAAAATCTTCTTCTCTACTCCTGGGCATTAAATAAACTAACCAAGTCCATAGTTATGTTGAATAAGACTGCTTCTTCCCAATTTGTAAATTTCAGGACCCCTGGGTCAGGTGTTCTTGTTTTAGGGTGGGGCTTTAATGATTATATAGTGAAATGCATGAATTCTTTGAACATCTTATCCTTTGCTCCTGGATAATATGCCAATGATCTAATTACATATTTAAGGCCAGGATTTATTTTATTTTCAGGTTTACAAACCCACCGCTCAAGGGTTTGAATTTTCAGAAAAAAAATAACAAAACATTTTTTTTCCTTTCTGATGTCAAATTTGAGTCGGGATCGAGATTTCAAATTTACGAACTCGTACTTTCGGTTTTAAGATGAACTTGGCGGGTAATAAAGCTAGATCTGCAAAGACAGCTTGGTTTATTGTAAAATTCATCGATAAGAGTGCCATTCAAAACGTTTCACCCATTCAAAGGACAAATAAAATGCTGACGACTTTGTTGCACAATGACCTGCTGGTGAGATAATTATGTAATCGTTTCAAAAGTATCTGTCGGTGAATTATTTTCCTCCCCACAGGTTTAAAACTGCCCGTGGTAGCTATTGCCAGCGACATTGTTTAGGTCGCTTATAGCTTACAGTCTAAGCATTATTCTTAAGCATAAGATGTAATGAATAAAACTATGGGAGAAGTTAAGTCCATTTGAGGAAGAAATAAACAAAAGCCTGAAGAAATAAAAAAAAATTCAACCATTAAAAAGAAAGTATATACAAATATATACAGGCATGTAGTATCGTTTGTGGCAGCCAGAAAAATTATTTTACACTTAATTGAAAAATCCTCACCCTACTCCGCAGTGTTCCCTGTCTGTTTTTATGATAGGAATTATAATTTTAGGCATCAAGTATATTTTAGAACAATGTCTACACTTTCACCTAACAAATATTTAAAAAATGAAGATATATTGAAAGAGTTTTAAAGAATTGATTTGTTAAAATATATTTTGATCAATGATGAAATAAGCAATTAAATGTTCTACTTTCCTATTTGTAAGCATTATGTTTCCAGTGGTAAGGAGCTTGTTAGGATAGCATAAAAAAGAATGCACAAATGTTGATAACTGATTTATCCAAAAAAAAAATTTTTTTTAATTTCCTTCTCCTTCGGGATTTTTTCATGAATGATGTTCGTAACTAAACCTAGAAATAAAAAAAATACTGACCTTATGTTGAAGAAAGGGTCCTCTTTCAAAATAGATAATTTCAGGGCTGCTGGGTCAGGAGTATCGGGGAGGGGGGTACTTTGGCTAAAAATAAATTAATGCTTTGAAATCTGCTCTTTGATAAGCAATGGTGCCTCTTTCAAAATTTGTGAATTTCATGGCTTTAGGATTAAATCACGAACCAAATACAATCGCTGGAAAGTTGTTATATGATGCTCAGGTGATCTATAAGGCCCGTGGGCCTCTTGTTTATTATTAGGCCGCACCTTCGTTTCATTCATATAAAAGTATACTGTAATGAGCAATTACAATTGCACCAAAAATATTTCTCTAGATCCATAAATTATTCATAATTTGCCATCTCTGAAAAAGCCAGCGCTTTTGGACAGTTCTAGTCAGACTTATCTCCGTATTCAATTACAGCATAAACCTATTGCATTTCAATCGATCCATGCTTAAGATAGCCATCAAGTTGACATATAGCATTGATAAGCATTGCATTCTGGTTTTCTGATTGAGGGCAGGTGAATTTGGTATAATGTTTAAATATTTATCGTTTTTCCTTTTATTGCTACCAGCTGTTAGATGTGGCAAACTTGAAAAACGTTTACTTTTAAATGACCCTGGTTTGATAGAAAAACGGTTGAATGGACTCGAACTGAAGGTTCAACACCTGGAGGCTGAAAATGAAAATCTGAAATCTCGTCTTGCTCAGCAAGAATCAATGAAATTAGGTATAGTAATCTTGGAACTGAAATTTTTGTAACATTGTTATATCTTGAATAGTAAGTGCAAATATAGACAATAGAGAGGTTTTGAACGATATCATGTATATTGTACATGTAAGTACTTGAACATATCTTACAAGTACACGTTAACCTATATTTTACGTTGTATTTTCTGAAATGTGTATACATGATATAAGAACACAAATCACTAGATAGTATTACGTACTAAGTTATCAAAGTCATCGGTTTGCATAATAGAAGATTAACGAATCACCACTAGCTGCAATTGAGTATAGACAATGATTCCGTAGTTCAAAAACTTATAAACGAACCGTAACGAATCTGATGCTGTTCAAATGAAAGGTGACCCTTTGCGAAATTGTTGCCCCCCCCCCTTTCCTCAGAATCAAATGGTCGTCCCCTTTTGCCATAAGATGTTTTACTTAAAGCAATTATTATGCAATAGCTCAAAGTCTTTTGAAGATATCGCACAGAAACGAAAGTGTTAAAGCACAAAATATATGAATTGTTAACCTAGACCTTTTGACTACAAAATAAATAGGAGTCTTCCTAAGGCTATAAGGAACTCTTGTTTTAAAAGCTGTAGAGATATATTACAATAACAGACAAAAAGACAGACGGACGGACAAACAGACGAAAATTAATATCGCAATACCAGTGAAAGCTGGGGACAAAATAATTTCAATAGCTTCTGTTGTAATCATGCTTTACCATTGTTTGAAAAAGAAGATACAGAATAGAGAATGAGACTGCAAAGAAAATAACTTTTATTGTCTTATATCATCATCTTAGTAGGTCATGGTGCCACGTACGTTCGTTGGGGTAAAAAGGACTGTCCTGCAAATATTTCGACTATAGTCTATACTGGTATGTCATTTATAATTAGAACATCAGCTAAAATTACTTGCATCAACTTATCAATGAGATTTGCCGATATATGTTAAAACATGTAAATCCTTACCCAGGGTTTGCTGCTGGGGGATGGTATAATGCTGTAGGAAGCGCATCCAACTACGTTTGTTTACCCTCTGATCCAATCGACAGCGGGTTAACACCACCTGATTATGGCCGGATATATGGTGTAGAGTATGAGTCAAACTTCTGGAAAGCTGGATCTTCAAGTGAAGATGCCCCGTGTGCAGTGTGCATTAGTTTTCATGGTACCAACATGCTGATGATCCCAGGACGAAATGAATGCTACCCCGGTTGGACTAAGCAGTATGACGGTTTTCTTGCTTCAAGTTATCATGGACACCCCGCTCAAACTGAGTTCATTTGTGTTAGCAGAGATCCAGATTTCCTCAATGCTGGTATTGGAGATAAAGATGGGGCGTTATTTTATCCCGTTAATTATCAGTGTGGTTCTCTTCAGTGTCCACCATATATTCCTAACCATGCTGCTAACTGTGTTGTTTGTGTCAAATAAATCACTAAATTTATTAAAATCATTAGGGAAAACCTCATTGTTATTTTCTGTGTTTTTGAACACTTATATAAGACAAAAGATATAAATAACAATGATCGATCTCATTAAAAGTATAAACATAATTATCTCAGAGCAGGGAATTCTAGGAATAGTACATGTATCAGGTGCCAAGACGAATAAGCTTCCCCGTTGGATGATTCAAAAATGCATTAGATGTATTTATCTGCTTGTTCGAATAATCTGGGGCCCGATTCTCATATATGCTTACGAGCAGGCGTAAGCATTAGTTATTACATGTAAACCCAATCAAAGTACTGAAAGAATTGAAAACTGGGCTTTAACTGCTCGAATACGGATTGCCTTATCCTTATGCAAGTACGACGTTCCCTTTTGGCCATTGCATGTAATGATGTTTAACAGGTAGTGTTTGATTAAAATTAACAATATCCCATATACCAGTCATTAAAATTAACAGACCCCTAAATATGTTATGATTTCAAGATTTAATAAATAATACTTACAAGATATTCTCGCATATTTTCTATTCAATAAGCATTTTTTTATAATAAAAAAACAGTCTTGGAATAATTAAAATAATGTTCACATTTTAGAGACATTCTTTTAGTTTTAAACAAACAGTAATTTTATCGCCAATTTTAACTACTAACATGTAGACACACTGACACATGTACATTGTCAAGCGACTTCAAGCAAAACGCATATTAATTCTAAAAAATTAGTAAGGTCCTTAAGTAAAGTTGTAAATCCATAAAATTAATTTTAAAACCCCAACGGTATAAATTGATTGTGTTGAAAGCGTCGATCGCCTATGGCGTCACTATGAAATTACGTAGATCGCTTATGACTAAACAATTAATTTATGGTCACATGGCGAACGTGAATTGCAGAGATGTAAAAACGCCTTGTTCAGATAGTGTTATATAAGGGCAAACATTTGCAAATGTAAATATAAAGAGTTAAAAGAATAATTATTTTTTACCTATAGGATTTAATATCTATTCATATGTCGTACTTACATGTACATGCACAAGATATGAGAAACAATTAGTGTTTATTCATAATAATATTCAAAGTCAAAAACAATTTCTTTTTTTTTTCGATGCGTCACGGTGTCGAAGGAAGACTACCTCACACTTAAGTCTGCGTTCTGCCCACATTTTGGATCTGCCACTTGTCGATATCATTATACATCTTTAGTGACCGTGTTCGAGGGAAATATGCATTTTTATCGGAACCAAGAACCAATAACCAAACTGTTAGGTTTGAGGGTCGACAAAACGCATTTTGTCGGAGAACAACATAATTTGTCGAAGACTCTGTTTTTATGCCCCTGTAAACGAAGTTTCGGGGTATACCGGTATAGTTCTTGCCCTGTCTGTCTGTATGTCCGCAAAAACTTTAAACTTGTTTATAAGTTTTGACTGGGTAGGACTATGGCTTTCTTATTTCACAGGTGTATTCCTTATGACTATGAGTTTGACACCAAAATTCCAAACTTTTACTTTGGACATAACTTTTGAACGGTTGGTGCTAAGGCTTTTATAATTCAATTCATATATGTAATCTATTAGCTAAGAACTTCCATTGTATACCAACAACTTTGACCCCTTGACCTTGGAGTTTGACCTAACTCTCGTATCTTTTATATGGTTAAGGCTAGGGCTTTCATACTTGTATGTAATCCTTGTGACAAGTGCTTTTATTGGATACCAACAACTTTGAGTCTTTCATCTTGACATTGGAGTTGGACGTTCTTTCAAAAAACTTTAACCTTGGCTTTAACTTTTGAACGGTTAGTGCTAATTTCAAACTTCACATATATATTCTTTGTGACAAGACCTTCGATTGCAAACCAACAACTTTGACCTTGGAGATATAACTACTTTTTAAAAAAAACTTAAACCTTGGTCACTTCTGAACGGCAAGGGCAAGGGCTTTCATACTTCACATATACGTAATCCTTAGTGACAAGACCTTGCATTGGATTCCAACAACTTTGACCCTTTGGCCTAGACCTTGGAGTCTGACCTTATTTTGAATACTTTTACCTTGGCCATATCTTTTGAACAGTAAGAGCTAGGGCTTCCATATTTCCCATTTGTAATCTTTGTGACAAAGGCCTTCCTTTAGAAACCAACAACCTTGACCTTGAGCTGGAGTTTAACCTATCTTTCAAAACGTTAATCTTGGCCATATCTTTATAACAGGTGGTGCTAAGGTTTTTATATTTCACATTTGCATTTCTTGTGAGAAGGCCTTACTTTGGGTACATGTTTGATTTTCATTTGAGAAAATTTAACCCTCGCTTTGTTGCCATACGGTGGTATCAGTATTTCACAAAGACATCTTGTTATTTATGTTTTGAGCAGACGGACATGCGTTCTGTATAAAACTATCATTAATATAATGAAATACATGCTGCTGTTTTTTTTTTCTGATCATGAGAGTTACTTCTCTTTTCTCCGAACATTTTTTGCTGTTCCAGTTAACCCAACGAATACAAAGAAATAGACCGTTTTTCTATGACTTATTTGGGTATAGCCCATTAATTGATTTTCCATAGGCGACAATGTTAAAATTTCTTCACATACATGTAGAATGCCCCTAATTTTTGTTAAGTAGTTAGTGACCCCTCAAATCAAAGCACATCAATTTGTCTTTCTTTGGTTAAAATCTCGAGGTGGCATGTCATATTCCCCGTTTTCCGGCAAAATGCGTCTGTCTTCAGGAACCTCTAATGAAAGTGAAAAAGGGGAATTTCAGGATTCTCAATGGCGTTATAATACACAAAATAATTCAGCTGATCTTCTTGATAAATTACATTTGCCAAGCTATTTTGTTAAGAAAGACACTCCTTATCAACAAATTTGAGGCTCAGTTTATAGTACACTGTACGTAATCAATTTTTTTCGTAAAGTCTGAAAATTAAGGAACTAGTTATTTTTTTTCTGCACTACTTTCTTCTACCGATTCTAAAAATAATTAGTGGGATGTACCCATTTTGCTACGTCGTTATTTCCATCAGACGTCATCTTGTAGGGCAAACTAGTGATTTTTTCTCTTTGAGCAACCAATTTTAAACATGCGTGCAAGAAATCTATGGGAGAAAATATTTACAACCTTACAATTATGAATTAATAGAGGCTTTATTGCTGCATTGATGATTTTCACAAAAAGGACAGAATTGAGCAGCAGCATTTTCTTTAAAAATGCACATTTTTGGATACATTTTTTTCTTTAAAAATATATATTTTTTAAAAATATTTGTTTTCAAGTGATTCTTTCTATATGTTAATCAATGACATATTTATAAAATTTAAAAGTTTTAACTTTACAACTCACATAGTGTATGAGCTATTGTAAAAATAATTTTTTTGAAATGTTGACCTTTGATGAAACCTTAAAAAAGACAGTCCATGAATGCATTCCATTCTGTTATTAATTAGGGCCCCGCTCGGCGGGCGCCCTATAGTGATCAGTCTGTCCGTTCCAAGATTTGTTCGGAGCATATCTTCTCTCTCCTCGGCCCAATCTGACTCATACTTCACCCACAGAGTGCCTTTGATCAGTGAAGGTGCAGTGATCTTGAACAAAGTTTCAAGGTCAAGGTCATAGCAGAAATATATGAAAAAGCCTTGTCCGGATCATATCTTATCTCCCTTTGGTCCAATCTGGCTCATACTTCACCAACAGAGTGGCTTTGGGTAACCGATGTGCAGTGACTATGAACCATGTTTCTTGGTCAAAGGTCAAGGTCAACAGAGTGCTTTTGGGTAACCGGTCTGCAGTGACCTTTAGCAAAGTTTCAAGGTCAAATGTCAAGGTCAAAAAAAGCCTTTCTGTTTAAATTCTTGTCTGGAGCATATTTTACTTTTGTTGGCTTATCTGGGCCATACTTCACAAACAGAATATCTTTGGGTAAAGGGTGTGCATTGTGCTTGAACCATGTTTCTAGGTCAAAGGTCAAGGTCATAGCAGAAATATATGAAAAATCCTTGTCCGGACCATATCTTCTCTCCCCTTGGTCCAATTAGGCTCATACTTCACTCACAGAGTGCCTTTGGTCAGTGAATGTGCAGTGACCTTGAACAAAGTTTCTAGGTCAAGGGTCAAAAATAGCCTCTCTTTTTAAAGTGTTTGTTCGCTGCATAATTACTTTCCCTCAAGTCTACTCAGCCTCAAACAAATTGACTGGATATGGAACATTTGTGATTTTCCTTCCATATTATGATAGAGGATATGCAACAATTTTCATAGAGGATACATTTCTAAAAGTTTTTAATTGTATTATTTTTCAGGTAGTAATACTTCTTGTCCCCTTTAATCTCAAACACCTTCAAAATAAACCCTTTTCAGCTACGTTACATTTTCATGTTAATTGCTTAAAGCGGGGCCCTTTGAGATGGCCACCATCTCAATATCTAGTTGATACTGAGATGGGAAAACCAACTTCACTGATAGCTCTCAGCATGGTGCAAGGTGTTAATAGGAAGGCTTGTTTTAGTTACATTGCCTGAAATAACTTAAAGGGTCTAGAAGAAATAACTAATAGTTTATATGGATATAAGTTATATAGAACGCACCATGATATGTAAGTAGTACATTGTAAATCAATCATTAAAATTATTAAAATCCCGGCTGAGTTTTAATTAATGTACTTATTCAATCACTATATTGCATGTACATAATAAATAATTTACCGTTTTAATAAAGTATTTGTGTAATAGATGCAGATATTGTTAGCTACATGGTACAAAAGTAATGTGTGCCGACATGACTTAATTGATTACAATGCATATAGAAGAGCATGATAAGAATTTCTCTTATCTACTATGTGTGAAAAATCCCTTTACTTTATTAGCAATTGCCACCTATTATTAGAAATGCACGTAACGCAGCATTACACTAAAACAGCAGAAAGAGAGTCGGGGATTTTCAGTTGCATATTTTGAGAATATCTAACTTGATTAGTGGCGCTGGATCGCGAACTT